ATTATGTCCTGATACGTAAAATCATAGAACTCAAAGAGGGTGTAGTTTCTTTTTCACACAACTGTAAGTAATCAGGCACATTTTTAGATTTATAATTTTGTTGTTGAATGAGAATAATAATAGGCTAAACAAATTTCAAATGTAAATATTAATGTCAGTAAATAATTATAGTTTTAAACTTTTAAAATTCTTTATACACTTTAATAATACAATCTTCTTTGTGTTCTGTGTGAAGTTCAGGTATCATTGTTACATTGCTTTTGAATACTAGAATGTATTAGGCTGATGACTTTTTATTCCAAAGTGTGGACTATAGTATCTTACACTAAGACCCCATTATTAAATATGCCTCTGTAATTGCAATTACCCTTGTGTATAACCATGTAAATTGTGATATTTTTACTCTTTTACTATTTTAAGTATTTTTACTCTAAAGTCTTCTACTCTTTCACTCTTGTTTTGTCTTTGCATTGCAATGGTCATAATAGAAGAATTGGTATTTATACATAGTTACCTAGCATTACATTTGCTATCCTGTATGTACAAATGAAAACTGAAAACTCTTAAGGTGGTTGATGCTTATACAAAGGTACTCAATTAATTCCTTGTACAGTTATCGATTACTGTGGATATTAAAGAATACGTATAACTTACATAACCGATGTTGTATTTTCCCTTGCATATTCAATTGTTTTATAATTGACCTTTTTTCTGATAGGCAACTGAATCTTCTGAGCACTGCAACTCCAGCTGTTGGTGCTTGGCTTCTTCCTATTGATCAAGTAAAGTCTTCTTTAAATAAATTAGAAACAGAGGGAACCTTACGTGTTTGCGCTGTCATGGGATGTATAATGACAGAAGCCTTAGAGGTAAGTGCTGGTGAATAGGTAAACTCGTCTTACCTTCCTCTAGCCTGAATATATATTTGTTTGTATTGTGCATCTGCATCTAAAAATTACGTTTTCAAAAGTGTGTATCGAACATTAATTTTTTCTAGTTTCATATTAAAAAATTTTAGTTTTTCCTGCATGTATCATCTGATTGTCTTTTTGCATTAGAACATCTAATCCTAGGATGTATGACAAATATATCGTGCTGAATTGGGCAAAAGCCAGATATATTATGAGATGATATTTTCTTTCTTGAATATTAATTTGAGAAAAGAGACAGAAATGTCTATGCTCAGATAAACTTGTATGAATAAATCAACCTGTCTTTTCATTTGTTCCAAATATAGATATTTATTTCCGATTGTGATAAATCAATATATGGGATTCAGCAATATTTTGGCAAGATCCGGTGTTAGAATATAATAAACACATACATATGTATATATTATAGAGGGAGGGAGGGGTGGAAGACTTGAGGGCTTTTTTTTGGAAGAGTGATTTAAAAATAAAGTACAATAAATAATAATCATTTCGGTGTTGATATAAAGAGTTTGGACACATTATGCAAAGACCTAGTTCTCTTGAAAAGTGTATAATGCTGGGAAAGGTGAAAAGAGATAACCAGCAGCCAGGTAGAAAAAGATAAAAAGGTGATTTAGCAAGCAAAAGAATATCATACCTCTGTAAAATGTTCTCAATTATCTTTATAAGATGACACTGAATGTTGTTCCCCTTCTTAGCCTTTAGTTTTCAAAGCCTCACACAACAACAATATAATACTGCTAAAGGATTATCGTAAAAATTAAATAATAACATTCTAAATAATTCTGTATGTAGGCTTTGCAGTAAAAAATAGAATGATAGTATGCGTGCATATATTTTAGCTGGAATATTAGATTGTGAAGGAAAAAACCATATTGAATGACAGAACTAATGTAGCTAATTGCTTTTATATATTCAGAATAAAAGTGTACACTTTCCTTTGAGAAGCAAGTACAACAGGCTCACAAAATTAGCTCGTTATTTACAAGAAAATCCTTCCTGTTTGCTGTGCAATATACTTCACCACTATCTTCACCAAGCAACTTTTTCCATAATTGAGGATGCAACTATGGTAAGTTACTGCTTAAGAACATGGTCTAAAAAAAAACAAAAAAACAGAATACCAAACAGAGAGCTCCACTGTATTGTGTACTCTATTTATAAAATATGTTTTACTAATTTCAATTTCTGTTAAAATTTCTATAAATCTCTTGTGACATACTGGCTGTTTGATGATAATAACTGCTTATTCCTAATAACAAATTCTGGCAGCATTCAAAGGAAAGCAGAAGCCAAAGAAACAAAAACAGAATAGAGTAACAAAGAATCATGGTGAGCAGGTTCAGAAAACCTCTACACATGTAAAAATATCCCCAAACTTTAAAAGCAAATTTCAAGAGAATCTTCTCTGCCCTAATTCCTTCTTTTCCTAGCTTAGTGAAGTTAAGTATGCTCAGTAGCAAAAAAATAGAAGAAGGGGAGCAAAATGTGCTGGAGAAGGGCCCTGAATTCCTTACCAGGAAGTTTTCCTAAGAGTATGACCACATTTCCTAGGAGTAAGAGTGTATTTGTTGCACTCTTATATAAAATATAATTCATAAAATAATTATTTGCTTCATGGTATTATTTAATCATATTTAATGTAGATGGCATCCTGAACTATACATTTTATGTGTTCACATTTTACGGTCTACACATCTAATGTCACAGAAGCAGGCTTCTTCTCCCTGAATGAAACTTATGCTCATTCTCCGCCTTGTTCCTGCGCAAGTGTACTCCTAAATCTACAGTCAGGACCAGAAATATTGGAACAAGGATAACTGTTTTGGCATTTGGCCTCTGTCCACCACCACATTGAAGTTGAAAGGAAACACACCCAGATGGGAGTGAAATCAGGACTTTCAGCTGTAATTCAA